AGTAATATTCCCATTACAAATCTCCTTTCAAAACAACTAATTATAAACTGAAATAGTTTGTTAAATTATTATCGCGAAAACGGTATGCAAATACACTTAACTAACGTTACCCGGAGCACTGAAGAAACATGTCAGTGTTTCCTTTTTGACCAATACCCCCATGGGGCTTTCATGACCATTCCAATCAAACTGAGATACAGACGTTGCAAATGATCACAGAGTTTAAAAATCCCAACCAGTAGGAGGAACACCAGTTGGCTGTATACAAAGCGAGTCAAGAAATCGACCCTAGGGAAAAACGAGAACAAATCCAGCAAGTAATAAGGTAGAGGGCTTTCACCCGTGACCACTAGATCACTAGTTTAGCACCCTCACCACACTGCCTCAAACATCGAAGAAGCAATGCCAGTATGTTTCTTCCTATATTTCACTCTGCAACGGATCCCCCTTTTCATTCTCACCAGTCGATACAACGGTTCTTGTAGAAATTAGTCGCCATCATCAATTTCTCATGAAATTACTCGGATTACTACAGTAACTTTAATGAAACCGTATATAGGTATTTGTATTACATTAGCTAATTTGTAATACGTAAATCAGATTATGATTTGCAAATCTGTAATTTTCTATCTTACAGTTACCAGATTGGTGATGAAAGTTTCATGTTATAAGAGAGATTACATTGTTGATTCCATCTGGATTGCTTCATCTTCAGGTGGTAAGACGTCATCTGATGTTTTGATGGTGAGACTTGAAGGCAACGGCCTGCTTTTTCTACTGACGATCCTGGTAAATGCCGTATGTATCTTGGTGCTCAGAAAAATGTACAGCCATGGGTTAACGGCACTGTTAGCGTGTCCAAACCAAAAACACACAAAGCTGACAATCGGCTGTATATGTAGGTAAGCCTTAGATGCGTGAATGATTTGCATCATGTGGACCACTTGTGGTGGGAGCCAACAAAGGGCAAAAGCACAGGTAACAATAATGAGCATCCGAACCACTCTTCTCTTGGAGGTTTCGAGTTGCGCTCGATCTCCTCTCAAAGTATTCACTCCAGGTGCAACATTGAACCATAAATTCCATGCAGTGATGGTATACAGGCAAGACATAACGACCAAGGGGATGAGATAGTTGACGACGAAAAGGAGGAGGTAAATTCCTCGAAGAGCCCTATCTGGATCACCCAAGATGTAAACAGATAGCATACAATAGGAAGAATTATTGTAGTCCTCCACGGTTTGAATAACAAGGAAAATGGACATGGAGACCAGTGACCCGATCCAAATAAATGGAACTGTTAGTTTAGGCTTTCGAAACCAAAGATGGCGGCTGAGGGGATGAACGATAGTATAGTACCTGTTGATCGCTATGAACGTCAGGCAGAGGATGGATGCTGTTAAAGTGACATAGGCAATGTATACAACACCTTTGCACATGACTTTTCCAAATACCCCTGGGACCATCCACAAACCATCTGTATATATTATGGAAATCGACCAGGGCATCACTACCAAGGTTACCAGCAGATCAGCGATGGCCATGTTGACGAACATAAAGCTTGTCAGTGATCTGACTTCAGGTTTCTTCCACACGATGTAGATGAGCAAACTATTCCCTGCAAACGCTACGAGCATCGTGATAGCGTAGAGGACTGTGATAACAATCCACTCGGCATCTGGTTTCATCTTTAGTTCCCTGTTTTTTCTGTTGCTAAAGTTTAATTGGATAAAGCTGTTATTAATGAATAAATAATCAGTAAAGGGAACACCCATGCCCCCCCAAAAAATTTTATTCGATACCAACCTGGGGTGTGGTGAGAGGAATCGATTGTGAATTCAGAGGAAACAAAACATTTAAAATTTTTTTTCTTTTTTAAACTAAGTTCACTTTGGTTGAGTCGATAATATTTCAGAACTTCACTGAAGCTGTGACCAGGAACGGAAATATTGGAAGCAGGAAAAGGAATGCAGCAGGACATTTTGATTTTCTTTATAAATAACACTGGTGAAAAAACCTTAGGGTGCGTTCCTTTGGGAGAATCCGGCTCAGGATTTCTAATCTGTGGCGTTCCTTTCGAGGAAATCCATTTACAGATCAGTAATCTATCAAATCCACGCTGGACAAGGATTCATCGGATCACTGATCTGCGTGATCTAAAAATTAATCATTTTCCCCAGCGGTGCTCAATTTCAAACAAGTAGGTACTTCGTTCATTGACTGGAAAGACTGTTGGCTATCGCTCTACAAATTCTGCGATAAACACGAAATACAATCGATTTTTTATTGCTAAATCGATCGGCCACTGATCGCAGGCATTCAGGGTTCCCCAGTATCCATACCGTAATCAATATTTGCATGTTTTAATTCCATCGTTTGAGTTTGACATGAAAAAATGTGCTTCTAATAAATAGTGCGTGCTAAAGGCCCGTTCAGTAAGACGAGCCATTCAGGGAAGAGCTCAATAACCCACGTGCATACACAAGTCTTAAAATAGCGCACTTTTTGGAATTCTCTGAGAGCTCGTCTGAAACTCCGTTCCTTTCATGCACCGTGATATGTGTAACATTGGATCACAAATCCAAATCCGGATCCTCCCAAAAGAACGCACCCTTAGTAACGAAGTGATGGTTTAGCATTTCTGCATAGATGTATTAAGTATTCCCATCCTTAAAATATATAAATACTGGTCTTCGTTGTTGGTTTGCCTTTATGACGAAAGCGTTTCTTACATGTCATCTCATTTGTCGTTTTCCGTCTCGATGAATAAAGATAACTTTTAGAAATAGTTTTTTTATTATTTTCAATTTTCCGCACGGTTCCTTCATTTGTTCGTATAATACCAATAACGAAAATTATCAGAAAGAAACGATAACAATATATTCGTTTTAAGAGCGATGGTCAGGAAATATCGACCAAAATCTTAATTTCGAGGCAAGAGTTGAAAAATCGCTTTCTTTCGTTTTTTGTCCATAAATAGCTTTTAGGTGGATAAGATACCTGATGTGGATTGTTCCCGCTTAAAGCTTTTTATTTTTTTAGAAAAATTAGAATATCGGTTTTTGTGGTCGGAGTCACAAAATTGGCTAATCATTTACGAGAAATTTGCATACATCAACTTGCCTCTCGTTCGCAAACAAGGTCGCACGGAGAAATTTTGACACTTTATTTCAACAGAATCACTGTTCTTCTTTTACTAGAAGATTCTTTTAGAGCAAAAGCGACACTCACCGAGCAGAAATTATTCAAAAATGAGGAATAGGTTTTATGGATAACAAAAACTCCGTTTTGTTATTGATTTTCGACGGCAATATTACACATGTGGTATAACTCCAAATTGACTTCATTCTATTTAAATCCCACATTTAGACATACATCTAAAACATACCTGGGAATTAGCTTGGGTTATTGAATGAAATCTCTATAAGGCGGTATCGAAGTTAAGGAATTTTCATGGTGGGTCGGCGGTAATTGTGTAAACACTTCCAGTTTCGAAATCCATGAAAGTGGATATTTGATCCCCAAATACTCATTTTTCTTAATCCTTGTAGGTTTTACAGTCGCAAAGTTGCGTTTTTTACTTAAAGAGTGAGATAGAAAAGCCAAACTGGGTGAATTTTAGCCATTTTGAAACGCTAAACTCTATCGACCGGAGACTCCGCGTGACGAATTGTTTCGTGACTAAACGTGATATTGGGGTGTCGACCAGTCACGGAATCACAATATTAACACTGCATTTCTTGACGGCGTATGAGAACAGTGTAAGGTATAATTGAATGAGTAAAACAGCAAGTTTTGGAAATATGGCTCTCAAAACTCGGTTGCCATGGTAACGTCAATGCTGACGTAAAAGTCACGACGACTTTAAAATGTCTCCAGATGATTTTTAGGAAAAGTCGCTAGGTTTGGTGCTCAAAGCTTGAGCGGTTTTGAAGTTATTTAACTTTTAAGCAAAGGGGGCTTCAAACCCTTCCCGGTCTAAATAGGGTTAAGGGTGTGAATAAAATAGAAGAACGTATGGAATGCCACGAGTAAACGTAAAAGCTAAACCTCGCTCAACTTTTACGTTTACGTGCGACCTTTCAAACATTGCCTCTATTTAAATTACGCGCCTAAAAGCTACGTGTGTATGCACGTGAAATTTACGCGACAGTGGGAATCCACCCTTATTCACCTACCTAGACGCGAGCAGTAACCAATTAGAGAGCACTCATGTAGTAGGCAGTCGAGTAACATTCATAATACACCTACGCCAGGCGTGCAACAAAATTATTTCCCTTTTTCACTTTCTTATTTTACCCTGAAATCAGTCTTGAGGTACCGCTTTGCCTCCTTTAAAGCTTCCTTTTGTGTTTTTGCCCATGTAAGACCCATTCCGTTTTCCCCGAGCTGGTGCACAACGTTCGCAAGATCTTCAAATGCCTGCGCACCAGAACAGCTAACGTAATCTAACCCTTGCAATGACTTGCGAGTCGAAGCGGAACAAACATGCAGAATTCTTAGCAGTGTACTGCGACTCATGGGTGTGAAATCATGCTCGGCAGAATATTTTTGGTACTGGCAAACGATTCGTTTAGGTATCTTGTTCCGTACCACATTTGGAACTTGGATACCTCGTTAGTTGACAATGTTATTGTCTTGGCTCCGAATGGAAGATCTTGAATTACATGGGAGCTTGTGATAAAGTCTAGGAAATGCGCTAATTTTGCTTCAGGTATGAATGACTTCGTTTGTGCATTGGTAGGCACCAGTTTTCCACTGCCATGGACTGCAGCATGCTGCCTGGCGACCTTAAACCGATGACTTGTCAGGCATGGGATTCACTGTTGAATTGTTGCCAAGCTAACCTTATCCGCCATTATGGACAATATCTGCCTGCGAGAATCCCTTTCGTTTGCATTTTTGTAGCAGTTTGCCAGCGTGTACATCAATTCTTTATCCAAACCACTAGAACAAGTGTGATTTCCAGTTTCATTTTGTTTTGAGGACATAATAGATTCCTAGAGAAGATCTGGATCATTAGGCGCTATTTCACCAAGAATAGCTGAAACCGCTTGCTTGGCTTTGCGCTCATGCAGTCGTCTGGTCCTTCCACTGGCATCGTTCCAAGGTTTCTTTAGGGTGTACCTAATAGGACTAACGTCTCGACTTCTTAAGAAACTGTTAAGGTGGTCAATAGGTTCTTCCGACTTCATTCCTGTAGTGCTTGTCTCGGTTTCTTCTAGGAGGGTTGATGGTAAATATAATGACGTTTCTTGCTCTAGTACGTCATGTGCTACCACCGAACAAGGAGTACTTGCAGCAATTGGAAGGTTACACATCACGCCCTAGACAAGGACGCAAAATAAATATAACGTAAACTGTATTAAAAAAAATTAATTGGGTACATAATTATCAAAGTTAACCAACACTTAGACAAAGATCAATAATCCCTCCTGATCTTTGTTGCCTTTATTATGGACTAAAAATAAAACCTTTTTTGCTGCCTTCATTTATGATAAAAAGTGCCTAATTTATTACATAAAATACCTTTCATTATGACAAATAAGTACGAACTTTAAAGCGAGTGGTAGAGGAACCCGGAGTGGTATATTGGAAACCCGAAGCGTTTTTCTGGGCGTTATTCACCGTATCCTTAACCTTGAGAAAATCATATGAACTCGTATCCCTGGCGGTATAAAGTGGAGGGATGCGTGTGTGTAGGTGGGGGCAAGTGGAAGCAAAAATGCAGTTTTTTTTAAATGAACCCTTTATTCTTAAAAGAACAATTTGGCCTCAGCTTACCATCGCGGACTACGTGGTCTTTAACTTGTTGCCACTGCTTCAAGTTCTCAGATTTTGGTGAGAATAAAAATAGAAAATCCGCTGAATAAATTTAAACTGTGTGCAGACGCAAGGGCGACATAAAATGCACGGGGTATTAAACCTCTTCATTATCTGCGGAACTCAGGAAAAACTGACGTAGAAAGCACAAAATAAGCATATGGCATTGTTTTCTTGGATACCAGCACACAGTTTGATGTCTACGAAATCGGTTAATTTGTGCTCTCTATCCTTATTCGTTACATTTTAAGGAAAGGCAGCAAGGAAACGGGGCCCGCTCATGCAGACTTTGTGATGATAAGGTCGCTATCCATTTTTTTTTTTTTATCTTTTTTGCCCCGCGGGCCTTGTTTGGTGCCACTGTTAATAACACTATTTCCATTGAGTGCCAGTTCAGAACTTACAGAAGTCTCAATGGTCTCAGTTTCCTCGTAAGAAAGGTTCTTGGTCTCCGGAAGCTTTGTGGGCAGCTCCCCTATTTTCTGCATGTCAAGATTAACCCGGCAGTTGCGACAAATACCTGTTGAGTGAATCGATGGAAAATACAGATTTTTGCTGATACGATATAATCACTATTCTGAACAACTACGGTCTTAATTTACACAAGTAAGGGAACCTGTTTTAAAAAACTTAAATGATAGATTTTCCTGCCCTTTCATATACTTCAACTCTTCAATTCCCTACCCTTTGATATACCTGAAGCCTGATAAAGGTACCCTTTAGGGGCTCAGTCTCCCTGTAACTATCTATAGGCCATCAGGGAATCTGCTTTAAAAAGCTGTAATTTTAGGAGTCCGGTGAAGGCTTCTAAATTAACCTTTTTGCTGCTACAATCACTAATATAAAATGTTAGAATAATGAAAGGAAAAGAAACACGTAAATAAACAAAGGCTATTGAATTTGCGACCGTCACGGCTACTTAATTTTTGAAAAAGTCAAAATAAAAAAAAAAAAAGAAAGAAAAGTGCTTACAAAGTGCTTTAATTGAAGTGTCATAGGAAAAAGATGAAAAATGATGTATACATACCTGAACCAACTGGAATAAAAATTCCCAGTTTCTTCCATATCAAATAACAAGCACTTTTGCCAAGTCCTCTTTCTGCATTTGCGTTTTTTTGGGCTTGTCCGCCGTGCTTCGAGATTGGCGGAGGAACTCGGCACAGATTCGATCCTCGACGCCACCCAATACCAAGGGATGAGCAGTGCCGGGGACAAATTGTTAATTCCAAAAGGTCTAACTCCGAAGAAAAGGATGTAGATACTCTTCCCAAAATAAGTTCGATTTCGGTTTCTACGTCAGTTATTGACAAGGAAGACTTATGACCCGCGATGTCTCTTTTGCAGTTCAGAAATGGAATAAGCTCAGTTGATCTGCTCCTATCTCTGGGGTCATAAGAGCAAGAACCGCCGACTAAGGAGCTAAAAGAGTACTTAACGTCCATGATGACACAAAACTGGCAAAATAAATTCACTCCAACTTCGCTAATTAAATTTCCCTCTTTGCATTCAATTGACTAATTCAATTTACCACGGCTAGTAAACTGCTTCGAGCTTTAGCCAACTCTGTCATTTCTTCAACAAATAATAAAAATGAATCCTCACAATTGAAGAAAATATCAATTTAAAAAGCATCTAAATCAAAAATGAATCCTCACAATTGAAGAAAATATCAATTTAAAAAGCATCTATGATTTTTTTCTTTCTGTTCCGATTCTTCTGAAACCAAAGGAAGCGAAGAAAACAAGTATAAAAGTTAAACAGGTTAGCCGAGAGCTAATCAAATTACATCCTGATATTTATCAGGGAAAACATCTTACACTGAAAAGGAAAACTTTCACCTTAACAATAATAAAAAATAACCCATCTTTGGCCGATTGCCTTTTTTTCAATAAAAAAGGACGAAAAGCTCACACCAGAATCGTTTTCAGTACGCTTTCGTGTATATTCCGGCCTGCTGTGTTAAAACTCCGCTTGACGTTACGGTCACGCAACAAGAATTGTTTACTCAGTCGTTGTAAAAAATTTGAATAAATTACTGTCATTTCAAAACCTTCGCGTGAGGCGCTGTAAAGGAAACCCGTGCTGATTCTAACATGTTATAGAAGACAACCTTAAATCCCTCAAATGACATAGTTAAAAGGAAAATCTGAATTATACCACATAGTGAAAAAACATTTGAATTAAGGAGGTATTTGCGGGATTTTGCACGTTTGAAAATACAGCACTTTCCTGCGCGTTGTTTGCTATTTATGAACAACAATAAAGATAAGTCATATAGTTTCTGGGAAAGTACGGCACTCACTCTATCAAAATTCGGTGTCATGATCCTTTGAATCGTTTTTCCTTGAAGACCAAAATTTCACATTTGCTTGCGGGACCTTTCGGGATCGTCGCCGGTCAAATTCGTTTTTCTCAGTTTTCTCAGAATTAAAGCGCTCCGCTTCTATTCTTAGTAGCTTTTTATAGTCAGAAAATAAGCGAAATTCATTTTTCAACTCTTGTCACTCAATGGTCGATATTTCCTGACCGTCGCTCTTAACTAATCTTTTATACTCAGTTTAATATACGGTAGAATAAAAAATAACACGAAAGATAATGTATGATATCTTGTTGTTGACACCGTTGGCGCATGCATATAACTATTTTTGATGGACTGTAACGTTATTAGAAGTAGTTTGGAAACAGGCAATCAGTCTGCCTATATATTCGCCTTACAAAGTCAACTTGTTTCCCTCCAAATTATTGTCAGTTACGAAGCGTTCAACGTCTCATGGCAATTCAACGTACCTGCGATAGACTGCACTATGTCCGCTGTCAGCAAATAGACTTGTAGCCTCTTATTACTAAAGGAAGATTAGAAAAAGGGAAAGATTTGCATTTCAACCGCACTGATCCAAGCGTTTTTTCAGGTTGATCTAAAACAAGAAACACGGTATACCTTTGGAGATCGATAAGGTTGCTTCCCCAGAACAACGGTTTTAGAATTCAGTGGCTCGAGACTAACGAACCCTGATGAACCAAAGAGGTTATTCCTGATCACTTCTATTTTTAATCATTTCAAAATGATTTGCTATGAATATTAATGCGCGTCTCGGTTGCATCTCTTCTTGACAGCCAGACAGGAATATCAGACATAAATGTTTGCATTTGGGACTTCTCAAATGATCTCAAATCCAGCATGCCTCATATCAATTTCCATGGCACGCACAACACGGGTTTACGTCTTCCGCTTTGAAAGTAACAAAAAAAAATACTAAGAGCTCAATTAAGAGCGCTTGTCTGTAAAAATCAGACAAATTCTAAATTTCGCGGCAAGGGTGAAAAATTCGATTTCTTTCTTATTTTAATATTAGATAGGCTAGACTATAACTAAAATCACTGGATACTTTTTTTGGGCAAAATATCTTTTTATTTCAGAGAAAAATACAAATAACAAAATTCCGTTAAAATCGTCATTTTTAGCAGCAAATTATTGCACAAGTTTGAGGGCTTCGCGTTCAAAAATGAATCACTATCTTGTCTTTTTAACACTCCAATCTTCTTTTCCAACCTCACAAGACCTCACAAAACGATTTTTGTAAACACTGACTTCCTCTTTGCGTGGAAAAGAATTTAAATTCGAAAGGATACATTTCTCTTCAGTAAAAGTACTTTGTGAGTAAAGTTAATTTTCAGCATGTGCTAAACCTTCCATTGGATTAAGCTTTTGGCGGTAGAATTACGAAAAGATGTTCTCAATATTACTGCAAAAATTTGTTTGGGCAAATGATTGAGAGCAATACAAAAGCTTTTCAAAGTCCGTTAAAATGCAGTTATTTGACCTTTTGCGGTCAACATTCCAGTCGCGAGGCACGCACATATTTTGATGTGTTTCAACCTATGTGAGGCCGGAAAATGTACATGGGTACACATTTCCAAATGCTCTAACCTCATTTGCCATAAAAGAAAGATCCAAAGACCATTTTACTGTGGTTATCTTGTCGCTCGTCGTATTTATAACGTCCGATGAAACTTTCTGTCAATCTGCGAACTATCACCAACCTTCGTTGTAAAACGTTTGACATCTTTCTGCACTGTGGTATCTTATCCAGCGGTTCAGTTGACTGTGAGTGTTGTTCGGTTTGTGGTGTAGTAGATCTGATCGATGCTTTTGAAAGTAGCACTACACATTTGTTGCAGTCAACTTGGTATTGTTTACGGAGAGTAGTCACGCAATGCAAATCCTACAATGGAAAGTTATTTTTTAGGGGGTAGGGGAAGGGGAAAGTAAAAAGACGTCACTCTGCTGCTCAGATTTTTTGTTCTTGTGAACATCGAAATCTCTTACATGTAAGTCGCGGAGATCAGGCCTTCGGCTAATACTCGTTGAAAAGCTAAATTTTGTGCCTGCTAAAAATAGTAAGCCTAAGTAAACAAAAGCTGGTTCAGTATGGTAATTACACGATGCCTGTTGTTTGCTTAGAGGCGGGCCTTCGGACTTTGTTTTTCACAAATACTCTAACTTACACGGTCAACTTTGTTACATAAAAAAGGTTGTTGTTCGTTCAAGTCGCTTATTGGCGGAGTTTGTTGTTACAACACAAGAGATCGAAAGCGTAAAACGGAAATTGTTCCTTTACTTTCATACACCAAGAATATCGCAAGTCCTAAGTCGGCTTTCAAATTTACCGGTCCTCAAGATGAGATCGACCTTATTTTGTGCCGAGCGCACATATGTCGGCCTCTCTCTAGTTTAAGGTTTTAAACGGTAGTTGGGTCTGTTAACAATGGTTAATAGTACCACTCCCTTTTGCAAGCCCGCCCATTGGCCACGGAACATAGCACCCCTGCCTCACATAAGCCACACATGCCCAACACTGCGTTTTGTAGCACGGTGCAGTAAAAATGAAGAAAAGGTTTTCTTGCATGCTATTAGGGTATTCCTTGCAATTTTAGTGGAAAGAAAAACACCCCTAATAAGTACGAAAGGCACAGAGCGCCAAAAAAACAAGAATAATAAATGTTTGTCACCACACAAAGATGACACTATTACAAAAATGTTTACAGAATAAAATATTTTGTAGGTTCCAAGAGTTCAATTCTAATAGTACTTAATTATAAGGAGTTTTACCCTTCACCTACCCCCAGTCAACTGAACCGTTGAATAAGATGCCACAGTGAAGAAAGATATCGCACGTTTGACAACAAGATGGTGTTCGACAGGGTTGGTGGTTACATGGGAAGTTATCATTTATACAGACCTAAATACGACGAACGACAAGGGAATCACACTAAAATGGTCTCTGGATCGGTCTTCTGCGGCAAATGAGGTTAGAGCATTTGGAAATATATTTCTATGTACATTTTTCGGCCACATATAGGTTAAAACAGATTAAAATATGTGTGACTCGCAAAAGGTCAAATAACTGCATTTTAACGGACTTTGAAAAGCTTTTGTATCGCTCTCAATCATTTGCCCAAACAAATTTTTACAGTTATATTGAGAACATCTTTTCGAAATTCAACCACCAAAAACTTAATCCATTCGAAGGTTTAGCACATGGCGAAAATTAATTTTATTCACGAGGTATTTTTACTGAAGAGAAATGTATGCTTTCGAAATCAAATTATTTTAATCGCAAAGAAGAGCGCAATGTTTACAAAAATCATTTTGTGAGGTCTTCTAAGATCGAATAAGAAGATTTGAGTGTTTAAAATACGAGAT